GAGAGACACGCAGTGCCTTAATTACATAGCACCGGCTTCCATATATCACATTACCATACAGAAATCAATAGAAAGGCTAAAGGTGGTTTGTGTGGCGATGGTTTTAACAACACCACACCTCTACACACACATCACACACGATTAAAAAACCAGACTTTGTTCCTCCATGTGTTCGTTGTAGTTTCACTGAGCGGACCCTCACAAGTTGTTCAAATGCTCCCTTTTGTCCCATCTGCGCGGTGATAGGTTTTGGTGCGCTGCTGAGATTCGTCTCTGTACCTTTAGTAATGATAGTTAAATGTTGGGAGAACCTTTCACACCAATAATTCCAATACAGTAATCCAAAATGTATTCACCCGCTTCCAGTGTTTTCGAAGTAACTGCTAATCAGATACTCGTTTTTCAAATGTAACGCGAGCTGAATACATTTCTTGATTTTTTAATCGATTAACGTAAGCCGCCGTTACATGTATTCCGTACAACCCAACCCCTGCTTACCAATACACCTTGCAAACACTCAAAATAGGCACAGCTGGCTCCTTTACACCACCGTCATTCACCAGTAGTTTTCTCTGGTATCTTTTCCTTGATGATGTGAGGTTCTAAGGAACAGAGGGTGCCATATTGCATAACTGATATTTCTATAAACTGTGAAGTCCAACTGAGACCAAATGTTAACATTGTGATATTGGCCTATATAAATAATACATTGATTGATTTCCCCGACTCACTGTAATCACCACACACTATTTGCTGCACCTCACGCCAGATTTAAACCCTCACAGAACACACCGCGTTGCCAGATCGTACTTGCTTCATGCAAAGTCTTCCCTGCCTGCCTCCCTGATCATGCCTGTCCCTTGGACATTCTGCCTTGCCTGTACCTTGCGTTCTGCTCGCCTGCCCATGACCCTCTGCCCGCGCCCGACTCACTTCCTGCCTGCGTCCTCTTGTTCTTTGACTGGACCATCCATCCCGCTGTACTGCTCTGCCGGGTATCTCCCTCTGCTCGTAGTATTGCAAATCAGAGCTATTCCAAATACCCTGGTTTTCGAGTGCGCTTTTGGGGTCCTTCATCCGATGTAACAAAACAGAGATCATAATTGTAGGGTAAAAAACAACTTCATTTAAATTGATAAATTTCTTTTTTTGTACAACTATGTTTATGATTATCTCTGTTATCTGTTCGATTAGGTTAGAGGTCCTAAACTCATTCTGTAGCAGTGTATTCGTTAATTGGGCAACAGAAAAAAAAACTGTGTGTGTGGTGCGTGCATTTGTGTGCTTGTGTCTGTTCCATGGATCCATTTCAAAACACTAATAAGAAATCAGCTCAAACGAAGAGTGGATTATAAGGAAACAATAACCTATGCTAGACATGGTAATGTGTGTGTTGTTTGGTTGATTTGGGCAGTCAACTTAATTTATCGAGCAAAATATCCTGGTTGACGGTCCTTTCTTTTTGGTTCTTCTATTTTTGTCTATCACACTTATTGTATTGAGACGGAAATTGTTATAGTTATGTATGTTCCTATGTTGTGTCTCCGGCCAGTACTAAAAAAAAGAAATAAAAAATCTATTCTCTTCAATTGTATTATCTGCGCTGGCTCGGTTGTGCAGCGTCCAGTAATGGTTTTATAATTGAGCTTTTAATCCAATCATATTCAAGTCAAATGTTGTTGCGGGTACAAGCAAAACCGATACATTAATGGGACAGATCTGATATCTAACTTAAAGGAGCTCTTTACCAAATAAGAATGCATCCCTGAGGATATGTGGCCTTTTCAGCCCGCGACCCCAAAAATACCTGGCCAGACACTGGCACCCCCCCACGTGATTGTCAACGGGGGGTTTTGTTAGTGAATTGTCCAACGTGGGAGACATTCTACGATGGCCAGTCGCCCCTGAACAATGTCTCATGCACACGTTATTATAATAAGAGTAAACAAATAACAGTGTCTTCCCATACATCGACGTACAAACCCACAGATCCCTCCACCCAGGGTGTCCATATTAAGGCGAGACACGGCAAGGCAACAAACATAGTTTTTCAGACTGGTCAATTATCGAGATTTTGCTATTTGATCCATAACAGTGTTTATTCAGGCTTGGAAGAAAATTACAAAATACACATGTAGGTTTTATTTTACTATAGTTGTCTAGTTTGCGTCTGTAGATTCTCGTAAATTCAACCAAAAGTTAGCTTTCTAAACAACATAAGTACGAGAGATCCGCTGTTTGCACCATGTATCCGTTCGAAAAGCTCCGTCTCTCCTGCACAATCTCAATTGATCCAAATATGGACAATTTCCTTTGTATCAGCAAACAATCGTGAAAGCAACAAAGGTCCCTTAAACCAAAAATCGAATCCATTGGCGGGTATCAATTTCTGACAACGTGATTCGTTCAGATGCGTCGCGTGGTGTGCTAAAAATATGCACATATATAGTGGCGAAGTCACGCCCATCTACTTCCGCCCCATGGGACCTTACTTCTGAAAAATGATGTATTGAGGTGAATGAGGAGAGAAAGATTATCTTTCGATCCCGTTTGAATTGTGCCACGAATTACACATATGATGTTTGTCAATCTTAAAAAATCATTTCCATAAAAAAAAAAGTCAGAGTTTGTCGTAGAACTGTTGAAATATAAGACTATGAAAAATACGCAACTAGAAAGACTACAAATCCCAGAGTCGCGTAAGTGAATTTAGCTAGCTGACATTAACGTTACACATTACACTGGTGTTACTCACCGAAACCCTGTAAAGCCGGTCCCGCATGCTGGAACTGACTAACTCCTCTTGTGTGTATGTACAGCTCTCAACATGGCCTGACTTGTAGTGATTTTCACCTCTTTTAATACTTTTCGCTTCATTCTGAAAGAAAGAGGTGAAATGTGCCAACGTGACGGCCATCTTGGTGTTGGTGATGTATCCAAGACCAGAGTTGTAGTTCATTGAGCGCTTCACACAAACAAATGTGTTACTTCACAGTTTTACTGCACATTTTTATTTTTTTGACTTCAAAATTATCTTTTAAATTGACAAACATCATATGTGTAATTCGTTGCACAATTCAAACGGGATCAATACATACTTTTTCCGAAATAAGGTCCCATGGAGGTCCCCCGGAAGGGGAGGGACTTCGCCACTCTATTGGTCTTTTTATTGAGATGTGTTGACAGTAAGAAAAAGCAGAGATTAGATGTAGCTCATTATATCAATGTATAGTAATGCAGTTATTATTTGCAGCCATTTGGACTGAGACTCTTCACTTGTTGTTGTGTTTAACTGTTTGAGTGTTTGTTCTAATATTCCTCTCTCTTGTCCACGTGCTCCAGGCTTAAAGTAAGGACGGTGCGACACCCAGCTAGAGGAGATCTCTCTCATCACCACTGCCATTTCACATGGAGCTCATCTTTGGAGTTGGACTTTGTACAGTAAAAGAGGATTTAAAAAAAGGAATACATAAATAATGACCACAGCAGCAACCACCCAGCAGGAGCAGCCAGCATTCTCATGCTTTACAGAAAAAAGGAAACAACAAAAAAAAGTGACTCCTGCTATTTCTTTCTCATATCTACATTCCCACATGTTACAGTGTTGACTCGTGTTGAGCTCTACCGAGGATAAGAAACGGACAGAGGCCGGTGCTGGTGGAGGAACGAAGGGTCGATGGAAAGGAAAAAGAAAGTGTTGAAGGAAGGGAGAAGAAACGCCAAATGATAATTTTTTTGGGAAGAAAAATAAGTTCAATTTTATGGGTTTTTGGGACTTTCGGTGTGATGTCAAGCTTTGGCTTTTGGGTGTGAGGAGGAGTGGACGAGTGTGTTTGAAGGTCACAGGATGTTGGTTTTAAGATTGTTGGGAGAAAGTAAAAGGAGAGCCTGAGAAGAGACGTAGCGTAGCGGATGAACATAGACTTACAATCCATGGGCCGTTTCTCAATCGCGAGGATGCTTGCTTGGTAGCACATGTCTTCCGAGTCACTTGCTTCAGAAGGCAAGGCAAGAGTCCTTCCTGGCATTCGGAAAACGAAGAGTGAAACAGGCTAGCAAGTGTGCAGGTGTGCGTCATATGAGAGGCCCTGCCTTACATTTTCCGGCACAGATTTGGGGAAATTGGTCCGTGCGCAAAGCATTGTGGGGATTTTAAGGACGCGAAGTCTACCCATGTGCAGCCTCAAAATTACCCCCAAACCAAGGACGCGGCCTCGGTGGAATTCCAAGTATGCTGGAGATTGGAACAGTCCTTCGGTGGCACTCGATGACGTAGCATCCTTGAAATATTGGCTTGGAAGCCAGTTTCCTCGAGATTGAGAAACGGCCACGGTGTTTATTTAAAAGAGAAGAAGAAGAAGTGGATAACAGTGAAGCTCGTTTATGAAGTCAAGAGTCTGGAGAAAGGAAAGTGACAGAGTGTATTTCAGATGGAGCAACGGTTTCTGTTCACACTGCATCGCAAAAGTCCGCTTTAACGGAAACAACAACAATGTGGTTACTTGTGTAATCTTCCAGGCTGGTCGCTCGTTGTCAATGATGTGTATTAAAGAGGATATGAGGCATTTTGTTTATAAATGATTTGTGTTTTTCTGAAAAAGAGAGGCGAGTGACGATTGTTCTCTTGTAGAAAGGATAGATTTAAAAGCGTTTTTTTCGGTTGGGTTTTATATAAATGTATATTAGGGTCAAAAGGAAAAACGAAGGAGAAAAAAAAATCTTAGTTGTATATTAATATCACATTGTTTGGAAAGCACATTTCATTTGGTAAAGGCTCACCATGTTTGTAAAACCGAAATAACAACATTACTTAAATGTGTGTCGAATATTGTCGAGTTACGCCGATGATCACCTATTTATATTTTGTATTTGTCAAAAAAAAATACAGAAAAAAAGGTTTAACAGTGTTCTTTCTAAAGGCGATGAATTACATGTCCGCTGCATCTTCAAAGCAAGGGGTCAGAGGTCAGACAAGGAGACAGACGAGAGTGTTAATAAGAGTTGTTTCATTTTTCTTCCCGATGCTTTCAGACCAAGTTACCGCAAATCCCTTAACCCTCCTTCACCGGTGCATCTAAAAGAGGAATATTCAGTTGTGAGCATGAAGAAAACTGTACAGATGTTTATATTCTATTCTTTCAAAGTGCCAGTTTTTTTGTGGAGTCATTTGGATATTCATTCATGTGCAAGAAGAGAGCAAAGGAGGACGAGTGTATCTGGAAGACAAAATATTAAAAAAATGGCATCACACTGTACAAATCAAAACATCAAGTTTGGTCATATAGTATATATTTTTACAACGTTTAAGGGTGGGTTAGCGAGACGAAGCGAAGCAGAGGGATACAGAATCATATTGCCATTTTTCTCTCGCTTGGTGAGACTGTTTCCTGAATCCAGTGAAAATGTGTACAGTCTGTTTTCCAGGAAGAGAATCCACTCATCCAGGCGAATGGCATGTGCCTGCATTGACTTTTCTTTGTGGCGTATGTGACTTTATCAAGCTTGCATATTTTACACAGTGTTTACAAAGATGTATGTTGTGGTAAAAATCAATAAACTACAAAAAAAACGTATATTGTATACATTTTAATTACCGAGGTTTAAAAAAAATTATTATAATAATACCCAGCATCCCTTTTGTGTGTCCTCAGAAGTGTGTGCTTTCATTGGACCATACTGAACCCTTTGCCACATATGACTTGTTTGTTCCTGACTGCACTTTGCAGTACCACAACCAAAGGATCTGGAGTTGTATTTACATATAAAAACAAAAAGGGGGTTTTGTGAATGTGCGTTGTACATTTACAAAATAAAAAAGCCAAGCAACTGTGCTGTAAAATAAATGCAGGACAGGGTCACGCGTCGAATCAAACGAACCTACCTGTGTAGATATATCTGATTCAAGACCGTCAAAATAAAGAACTACTCAGTAGCAGATGTGTTTGTACCTATCATGTGCCTTAACCTTTTCCATGCTAGATACGTGTGTTTTATATACCTCCCTTTCCACTGTCATCTCTCCATTCTGTCTGTTCACCTCCCCCTCTCTCCCCTTTTCCTCCAATCAACTCATTCATTCATCCTGCCTCCTCCCCGACCCCAAGTAGTTAGACTGTTGGTGGGTTTCTGCCTTGTGTTACATTGTATTATAAACTTTTAAAAAGATAGAGTCATTACAAATAATGGTTTTGATTTCCTAGAGGAGTAAAGTTGTTGATGCTTTCGTAGCGAGCAGAAGCGATGCCACAGTGACAGAATGTATTATGTTAATTTTACTAATACCCAGAGGCAAATATTACGCTTGTTAAACATAACGGAAAAATACTGGTTTGTAGAGTATACATTTGGTGTGTTTTCAATAAATCATGCCTGGAAAGAATGTGTTGCTTGACTGTGTCTTATTTATTGTGTTATTATTTTCCAGTAAGTCTCAAGCTTTAACGTCACAACAGCAGCCCCTAGAGGCTACTATGCTCATTACAACCCATTCCAGAGATTGGTAAATTCACCAAAATTACTAAAATGGGATTTATTGTACATTTGCAAAACGTTTACCTCCAAGGAAACAGTCTGAATTTAAGTCAGGATTGTGTGTTATCCCAAATGAGGAGGACACTGGTTCTGGAAAAAAGATTACCACTATCAAATAAGTGAAATTAAATGTATTTTAATAAAAGCAAATATCTATATCAAAGTTATGAAACATGTACAGTAAACCATGAGCCGTCTTCACTTTTCAGTTAAGGTGGAAATTAGAAACTAACCTAAGGATTTAGGTTAGCTTCAATATACAATTGTTTAAAACTAAATAATACATGCAGTCTTTCTTGTTGACAACAATGTTCCTCAATTATCTTATGTTGTTTTTTGGTTTGCCACACTAGAGGTATTGTGGGTTTGAATAGGTCAAGTAATCTACTTAAAACTACAGAATTACCCTTGAAAAAGCCTCTAGATTCCCTCCAGCTCCTCCAGCCTTGAGCTGCACAAGAACATGAACTTCCACAAGTGTATGTTAATATCCTTCTTAATTTTCCCCATATCGGCATACTTTATAATATAACTTTACATTAAGGGGGTGTTATCTTATTTACCATAAAGTATATATCAGATATTGACAGATTTGTTTTGGCTATTGAAAAGTATAGTTTTTACTCGATTGTGGAGCCTACGACACATTTATATTCAGGCATTTCTCTGGGCAGCACACACCGTTCGGGGTCCTTTCACAATAACAACATGGCGGCGCTCTGTAGATGCAGACACCGGTGGAAGAGGAATAACTGTTTACACGTTTTAACTAGAAACCTGACAGGTATGTAAGGATATGTTGTTGTGTAGTTAAGAAGTAGTGAATTTTCTCAGGTTAATAGATAATAAAAATACAAAATAAAACGGTCAAACCGTTCATTTACAAAGCAGCAGCGCTGATGTAACTTGTGGTCGATTCACTTGTTCATGTAACCCTGGAAATAACTGTCACCTTCACCTGGTTTCCTTGGTTACCCAGACCTTCCACCTTCTTAAAGGCAGACTACATAAAACACATCTCTAATGGCTGCTTGGTTCGATGTTTGTTTTGGCCTTATTAACCAGTACGAGTCCTCAAACACTGAACTGGTTAGTGACCAGCAGCTTCACCTGGAGAACAAGTCACAACACTTTATTTATTTTCTGTGTCAAGATACAATTGTATTAAGTAGAACGTAACTCAGTCCGTTTACTGGAGTATTCTACATCTCCATAATACAAAATGAGGCACTTGCACTTCTACTCCACTACATCTCCTAGGCAAATAGTATACCTCCATTATCTTTAGTTACTAGTTACATAGCAGATTCAGTTCAACAATACAAACATTTATAATTATATCACTATATTATAATAAGCCTTTATTGGTCTAGTGGGGATTTAAAGGGCTACACAGCAATATGTAAAGTAACAAATAAAAACAATTTAATTGATTAAAATGAGCTCCACATCTACAAGCTGCAACATAAAGCAATGACCATAGTACATTGCATTACATTACATTGCATTTAGCTGATTATTTTATCCAAAGAGACTTACAATAAGTGCATTCAACCAAGAAGATACAAACTTGAAGAAAACAGAATCATATAAGTACATTTTCATAGAGCCAGAACATTTCAAGTGCTACAACTGGCTTTAGATAAGCCAGTCCTTTATTAGTATATAAGTGCTTTGTTAGTAATTCTATCGCTCAAAGTGGAGTCGAAAGAGATGAGTTTTCAGTCTGCGCCATTTTGGAGCCAGGATAGCTAACATATTATTGACTAAAATAATATTCCAATATATATATTATGCAATCAAAAAGTGTTTGTCATCATGATATGTGGTTTAGTTTAGTTGTTCTAGTCATCTACAATGCTTATTCATAATTTGCTTATTAAAATGACTAGCATTTTCACTAATCTAATATAAATGTGTGTGTATGTGTGCATTTAAAAGTAATATATGAATTACTTAAAGGTATATAAATTCAGCTGTGTCTACTATTCATCGTCCAATATGCCCCTACAGGGAAGTATGACTACGACCTGGTGGTCATTGGAGGCGGTTCAGGAGGGCTTGCCTGTTCCAAAGAAGGTGAGATCCTTTAAAGTGCCTGTTATTTCTTCACGTCTGGGATGTATGCTTTTGCAAATCTCATAATACGCTAACAATATATCTATATTTACAGCGGCACAGTTGGGACAGAAGGTTGCTGTTTTAGATTATGTGGAGCCAACTGCTAAAGGTAAAAAAAAACTGTCATTTCTGAACCTCTTAATCCAAGTTAATTACAAAAAGGCTATTTGTTTGTCGAATATATACAGTACCAGTCAAAAGTTTGGACACAACTTCTCATTCGAGGGTTTTTATTTAATTATTTTCTACATTGTAGATTAATACTGAAGACATCAACACTATAAAAGAACACATATGGAATTATCTAGTACACAAAAAAGTGTCCAGAATTTATTTATATTTTAGATTCTTCAAATTAGCCCCATGTTGCTTCTCTCCGTCAGCTTCATGAGGTATGTGTTCTTTCATAGTTTTGATGTATTCAGTCTTAATCTACAATGTAGAAAATAATTAAACAAAAACCATTGAATGAGAAGGTGTGTCCACACTTTTGACTGGTAGTGTATATAGACATCGATTATTCATTTCTTCTCTAAATGATTTTCGCAACAGGTACCAAGTGGGGTCTCGGTGGTACGTGTGTTAATGTCGGCTGCATTCCTAAGAAGCTCATGCACCAGGCCGCTCTCCTCGGCACTGCGGTGAAGGATGCTCAGAAGTACGGCTGGCAGATCTCGGGGCCAATCTGCCACGACTGGTAGGTCGATCCAAACTCTAACCATTAGATTTTCTTATTTTAATCAGTCAAAACAGGCGGATTAATGCCAAAGAGTAGCCCAACAGCTCCATCTAGTGGTGACAATGTAGAAATGCAAGGCTGCTAATTGTGGTTGGATTATTTTATTGTTTGGGTTTGCTTTTGGTAGGTCAATCCAAACTCTCCCCATATATTTATTCATTTTAATCAGTCTATGAGTAGCCCCACAGCACCATCTAGTGGTGACAATGAAGAAGGACAAGGATGCTAATTGTGTTTGGAAAATATATTTGTTTTAATGGCAATGGGATCGATTTGCTTGTTTTATTTGAATTTCACTCTATGCTTGATGCGCTGAGCTTATCCCCCAAAAATGTATTACGTAGGAATCCTGAAAAATTTCGAAAAGTATATACATTTAAAAATCCAAAGCTGTGAGTGATGTGAATACTGCTTTCATTTCTCTTAAGGGCAAAATAATCCGCAAAAAATATACTTTGTCATATTTGAATAATGGATGTTTGCTCAATATTTCTAATTTCATTCATTCATTAACCTCTGGTGTGTTTTCAGGGCCTCCATGGCAGACGCTGTTCAAAACCACGTGAGGTCTCTGAACTGGGGTCACAGAGTTCAGCTCCAGGACAAGTAGGTGACACCAGCTCTGAGCACTTTGTTCAAATGTATTTCAATTATGATGATAAAGTTTACAATTCGTTTTTTGCAATAATGTTGGAAGAAACAGGCCATTAAGGAGTTTCAGTGGAAGTTTTGTGTCCCATACTTACAGCCCACTGTAGCAATGTTTGCTTATTTTTCCATAATGACATTTCTTAAAACCCTAATTTCCACCAAGCATTGGAATATTTCTATCTATAACTTGTTGCTTAGTTGTCTGAAACCAAATGTTGCTGAAGGCTGTACGTTTCTGCTGACACACACACACACACACACACACACACACACACACACACACACACACACACACACACACACACACACACACACACAGCTGAGGGAGTGATGTTGATTGAGAGGCCGGCTGCAGGGCAAACAGGTGTGTGTGTGTGTGTGTGTGTGTGTGTGTTNCTGTTTGCCCTGCAGCCGGCCTCTCAATCAACATCACTCCCTCAGCTGTGTGTGTGTGTGTGTGTGTGTGTGTGTGTGATTAATCCCAAATTCGGAGAACAAAAATAGTTACAGGACCAGTGTGCTGAACATTAAAATACTTAGAATGTGGAAAATAGTTATCAATTACAAATAGAGTATATCAAATATAAACAATATTAACAAAATACAATATGTTGA